CAAAACAAGGGTCTAAAGATTCAGGTGCTGATTTCGGATTCGGGATATACAATGATCACCATTATCATCTGGGGTACTTCCTTTATGGAATTGCAGTTCTTTCAAAGATTGACCCTGCTTGGGGAAGAAAATACAAACCTCAAGCTTACTCACTCATGGCTGACTTCATGAACCTCGGAAGAAGATCAAACTCAAACTACACACGCCTAAGATGTTTTGACCTTTACAAGTTACACTCGTGGGCTGGAGGTTTGACCGAATTTGCAGATGGAAGAAACCAAGAAAGCACAAGTGAAGCTGTGAATGCGTACTACTCAGCAGCATTAATGGGTCTAGCTTATGGTGATACCCATCTTGTTGCCACTGGATCAACACTCGCAGCACTGGAAATTCATGCAGCTCAAATGTGGTGGCATGTAAAAGAGGGAGATACTTTATATGAGCAAGATTTCACAAAGGAGAACAGAGTAGTGGGTGTTCTCTGGGCTAATAAAAGAGACAGTGGACTCTGGTTTGCTCCTCCTGAATGGAGAGAGTGCAGGCTTGGTATTCAGGTTCTGCCATTGTTGCCTATAACTGAAGCTTTGTTCTCTAATGTGAGATATGTGAAGGAGCTTGTGGGATGGACTTTGCCTGCTCTGAATAGAGAAGGTGTTGGTGAAGGCTGGAAAGGGTTTGTTTATGCGTTGGAAGGAGTTTATGATAAAGGGGGAGCATTGGAGAAGATAAGAAACTTGAAAGGATTTGATGATGGAAACACATACACCAATCTCTTATGGTGGATTCACAGCAGAGGGGATACAGTTGAAGATGAAGATTATTATGGTCATGTGAAGAACTGTTGGTTTGGTCATTACTGTCATTGAGAGTTGTTTGATTATTCCCATCTTTAAATGATTTACATAAAGTTTCAAAGCTTCTGGGATTACACTTATAATACTAAATTATTATTATCTCATATCCATGTTTATTGATCATTGTAGTTATTAAGGAGTTCAAAATTCATTTCAGGGACGTTTGTTTTCATGCTACTTGTGTATTTCTGTAGCTCTCCCCTTAATTTTAATTTAAATGGTCTGATCCACCGTAATCAGTTAATATTACTTTAAGCGCATTATTAGTGATAAGTAACCATATGTATCACCTGCAGTGGATAGGATACGCACACACCCAAAACGAGTTCTGAAACTTGCAAGAGATGACCGAAAAAGACAATATAGTTGAACAAAAATATATGTATCAACGTCACGTGAGAAACTTTATAATGTTCACTTTTTAACTACTCTTCCGGTATAAGGGTTTTATATTTAGGATCAAGAAAGTATATAGGATCTAATATCCGGGCATTGTAAAGTTTGGACAAGAATAGTTCTCCCCAATATGATTATTTTTTATTAATGTAATTATAAGGAAAATTAATCATCTAATTCTTATACGTTTGCCTTGATCAAAAATTAGTTCTTAAATAATTAAACATTCTAAAAAAAAAAGTTACACACTTATAGAAATTGAATGGTTAGTTTTACCTAATATCTAATATACATTTCAAGATAATTATTTTAGTTCACATGGTTGCTTATAAATATCTACCAGTCAAAGAAAGCGGGGGATAGAGAGAATTCATTTATGAAACTTTTGTGTTATATTCTTTCTTTCGTGATAGATTATTTTTTGCCGTGCTTTATTGATAAATTAAATATAATATAATTGCTGTTGGCAAAAAAAAAAACATAATTGCTAATCATGCATGAACGTGGCACAGGCAGGATAATATAGTTTAATATTAAAAAAAAAAAAAGCCTAACAACCATTATTTGATTTCTCTGGATTTTGTAAATCAAATGACATCAAACATTTTTTTTAATAATTTTTTTAAGCAGTGATTTTGCGAGTTTCAACTTTCGGTGGAAGATACGATAGATACATAAGGTGTGGACTTGTAGTAACAAAAAAAATAATCCCAAAATTGTTTGATTCAGTTTTAAAAAAATGAATGCCTCGAAATTAAACTTAAAAGCTCGAGTTTTGCGTTAAAAAAAATAATGTTAGAGATCTAATCAGACTTGGTAACACTAAAATTTAACACGCTAATGTATATTAATACCAGATAATCTTATGAAAAAAAATAAAACTCTGAATATTCTTAGAAATGAAATACAACGTTCAAGTCCGCTGAATTGCAGTAAATAGTATGGACTTTTGTCCATAATCTCTTGTTTGGTCGATGAGGAAGGGGAAAACAGGATTTTAATGGGTTCAATTTTTTAAAAATAAGTGAACGAGATTGAAATTTTTTAATAAAAATAATATGTACGCAAGAAGAAAGAATAGATAAAATTAATTAAAAAAAACTAATTCCCTTTTTTTAAGAGGTGAATATTATTGTTAGTCATTACAAATTTTGATTTTAATTTCTATAATTTCATAAAAATTTGATTTAAATAAACTCCATTCAATAAATTAGCCAAAACCGTAATTCGTTAAAAGTACAGGAATTAAAACCAAAACTCGTCTAATCTGTATACTTCTAATGAACTTTGATTAATAGTTCATGTACTTTTAACTAATTTTAGTTTCAGTCATGGCATTAACTAAAAATTAATATCTTTAAATTCAAAAAAACCCTTATAAAACTATCAAGATAAGAGTAACCAAATTTTAAAATTACAAGGACGAAAATTAATATTCAATCAAACTGTAATAATATTAGTTTTTTTTTTAAATCAAAACTCTCCCTCCACGGTTGATTGAGTCAACCAAGATGTCAAGTAGGTAAGGGAATTTGATTTCTAATTTTTGTGTTTGGAACAGTCTTACTTGGCTAGCTAGAGTATACTCTTGGCTCTAACAAATGTACTCCCTATTCATAAAAAAGAAAGGAAAAATGTCGAAAAAATTTTCATTATAAAATTTATTACTCATAGGTAACTAAAAATTTATTTTCAATATATCTTCAGCTAGTGTAATCCTTTTTTAGCTATGTACTACCTCCGGTTCTAATAATAAGAGCTAGTTGACTAATTTGAGAAGATTAAAGAAAGAAGCTAAGTTAGTTATTTGTAATAAAATAGATATTGTCTTTTTTAAAATATCCTTACTAATCAAGTATATTGATTAGAACTATTATTGTTAAAAGGATTATCTTGAAAAAAATACATAAATATAAAAACAAAATAGATTGAGATCTTCGAAAAAAAATGAAAAAGTTTTTGGAGGGAAAAAAAAACCGTAGAGGGAGGGAAAAAATATAAGTTGCTTAACTTGGAATACGGAGTTACAAGTGTCTTAATGGTTAAGGTCCCCTGAATTTGCTGGAGTTGCATGACTCGAAGGTTACGCTTAGAATTAATCGCGTGGGAAACTTGATCATGCCATCCCCACCTTCTCTCACTTCCTTGTTATCCTCAAACTTCCTTTCGCTTCAATTTCTTCGTTCCCTTCCACCTCAATTCAATTCGTCTCTCAACTTCCACACGAAACTCCCTCAAGTTAGCTAAGCCAAGGCCCCACCCTCTTTAACCTTGAAAATATAAAATAGAATAGTTAATTAAGATTACTCCCGGTGCTCAATATAAAAATTAATGTAATATTTAATTTGATTCTAAATATAAGACTATAATCTATTTTATCTCTTATATTTATTTACTTTTTATGACAATTCTTGTAAAGTTGTAATAGTTGCATATATTAAAAATTTCATCAAATGGTAGTTCTAGCTAATACACATAATTAACAAGGGTATTTTAGAAAAAATAACACATATTTATTATAAATAACTAATTTAACTAATTTTCTTAATATACTCAAATTAATCAATTAGCTTTTATATCAAAGACTTGGGGTGATATATTTTTATTAGGGATAATACAATTTTTAGTCCCTTAAGTTTGTTATTATTTTGGTTTTAGTCTGTCAAATTTTAAATCATAAGTTTTGGTCATTCAATTTCTTTTTATTTAAAACATTAGTCCATATAATTCAATAAAAATTTAGACTATTTTACTCCTTGAGGGATCAAAACTTACGATTTAAAATTCAATGAATCAAAATCAAAATGAGAGCAAGCTTAAAAGATTAAAAATCATATTAGTCATTTTTGTTATTTGCAAATTTTTAACAAATGGTGGCTGCTGCTTAGTTTTGACTCTTGATGGGATATTTGGATAGAATCAAAATTATAATTTTAAAAGTATTTTTATAGTATACAAAATAAATATATGAAAAAATTTATCTCGATTAAGTGCTTTTAAAAAGCTCCTGATCTCCAAACATTCCTTGAATCTGGCTGTTATGAGAGCAATGTAAAAAAAAACCGGACCGGACCGGCCGGTTCAACCGGTAAACCGGTGAACCGGTCAGTGGTCCGGTCTGGTTCATAGGCTAAACCGGGGACCGGTTCAAACCGGATTGAACCGGTCCAACCGATGTGAACCAGTGAAAACCGGTATGAACCGGTAATAAACCGGTTTAAATAAATATATTAATATTTATCCTATTTTTTCTCATTTAGCTCTTAATATCTCAATTATTATAGATTTAAATGAATTTTGATGATGAGTTTGGTATCAATAACTATTAATTTTAGTTATTGAGAAATTATAAAGATCAAAATTCTCAATATTGTTGTACTTTATTATTATTACAATCAAATTCTTATTGTATTTCTTTATATTTTTTTATTAGTAATTATTAGTATTGTTATATTTTGTCATTTTTAATTATATTATATTATTTTAATATGACCGGTTTGATCCCTAGTTGACCCCAATCTAACCCATTAATCCTTGAACCACTACCTCAAACGGTTTAGTGTCCGGTCCGGTTTTTGTTCCTTGTATGGGAGTGATTTTTATAGTTTTAAGACACTAAAATTACTATAATGCCCTTCTGCTTAATTAAAAAAATCGTATATGATCGAGTTAAAAAGAGAAGGGGCAGAAAGAAGTCTCAAGAACCTGGAGAGCCGAAACCCGATCGCTAGATGTCCTTAACGTTCTCCGTTCTGCATGTGAATCCGTTGATCTATGTGCGCTTCATTCTTCTTGGGTCTTCATTGATTCTTTCTAAGAGGGGTAAGTTTGAGTCCTTTCTTTTTATGGTGGTTGCTGCTGATCATGAGAAAAGAAAGGAGCTACATGTTCTTTTACTGATTAAGATTGGTATGCCGAGGAGTTTATTGACAAAGAAGGGTCTGATGTCGTCTGTTACGAATTTGACTTCTTTTTTTTTTTTTAAAGGAAAGAAAAAGCTTAAGAAACTTTATTGATGTTTGGGAGTGTATTATGTTTTGGTGGTTTTTGAATTGGAGTGGTTGTTCTTTGACTTAATCTTGAATGGTCACAAGGTGTTTGACGAAATGTTTGAAAGGAACTGGACTTGTTTGCATACGTACTTTTATCGTATTTTGATGGTGGAGAGGACTTCAGATTCTGTTTTAGGTTGATTATGATCTATACCTTGCTTAGAAAGGAAATTTGGAAGATTTATGACTTCATAACAGTGTTGGGAGATGCCAATGATGAAATTTGATTTTCTTGTGAAATTTTGCAATGGCTCATGATTACTTTTGGATATCTGCTTGTAATATTCCACTAGAGATGATTTCATCTATTCAGTAAACTTGTGACATCTCACTGATAAGAATATCGTTGTTATTTTCTGTCTACTAATAACTGCTACACACACACACACACACACATATTAAAACCTGTGGATTTACTTGCTTGATAATTTTTTCTCCAACACTGAATATTGCCTTCATGCCGATAAATCTTTCCTTTTGGGGAAACCATGATACAACTAACATTCACACTTATGTACACACAGCATTCAAAATAATTCTTATATAATGGTGAAATTCAAGCTGAATATGAATTTCATTTCGGATATGAGATATTTGGTGCATGGAAGAGATCTATGAAATTTAGACTGATCTGTTTGGTGTTTGTGAAAAGGACTTGTCATAAGTGATGGATGCCAAGTTAGAGATTCATAAGCGAATCCATTATAATTGGTTTAGTTAGTGCATATTAACTATTTGTTAAAATGCCTGTATAAGAGTGCTACATTGAGCATAAAATGAAATTGACTTGTTTCTTCATTTTGGATTAGTTTAAATTATTTTGAGTGTGATGTTCTATATTTGTGTTTAGAGTTGTCGTGGATTGCAAAAAATCTTAAGTAAGTGCATACTACCTTATCTTGATTTTCATAAGTACTTGAATAATGTTGCACATGTTCATTTGTGCTTGGAACATGGTTCTATTTTGTGGTTGCAAATGCTTAAGATACATGGAGCTATAATAAAAGCTGATAACAAATCATCCTAATTGAAATCTTGATTTGATTATTGTTTTTCTTGTTCATTGAACTATCTTGTTATATATATATGATTTCTAGTAATGAGATTATGAAGTCTACAAAAGGAATTTTAAGACAGGTATTATGAATATTTTGTATAATTTTTTTTTTTTTACAAGATAAAATTTTCATAATATAAAATAATGCTCATCTGTAAATCTGATTAGTTAATTAGATCTTAGATTAAGAACTGGAAGTAGTAAGTTTTAAATGGTTTACTGAGTACACACATGGGAATATCTGGTTAACCTCATAGTTTGACTTCACTGTGATTCCTCGCCTATAGCTGCTGGTGATTCCTCATTGGCAGCAGCTCCGTATTGATTTAAACATTATTATATTTTTTAAGCTAATGTCTTTTTGATTATGAATTGCAGCATCCTAAATGATGGAAAGTATATTAATAATGAATATAATGATGTGTATCTAGTGACAACTCTTGATCGAATTCCACAGGAAGCCTTTACTCTTCACGCTTCAAGTGAGGATGCTTTACATGTTAGCAAAATGGACTTCCATTCATCACATATTCTTCGTTATTTCCTAAAATGGTAAGTGTAAGATTGTAGTTAAACTGATGTTACCACGGTTTTTCCATTAGATGTATGTAAAGTGTTCTTTCTTTCTTTGGTTGAGAAGTATAATGCCCGGTAGTTAATATGGCATGTGTTTATATTAGATTAAGATTAAGGTTTGTCTATTCTGTGCCACAGAGCTGATTTTGTGTGACCTCTAAATTATTGATCTGAGTTTTATTGTTGTGAGAAGCTTGTGCCTTTTTAAACGAGAGTTGAGACTGGAAAGAGTGGACGAGGGTTTGAATCAGGATAATAATAAGCTTCGGACTCAAATTTTCAGCACGATTTGCATGTCTATTTGTTGGGGGGGGGCCTTTTTTCACATTCTGCAAATCACATTCAGGTCCCTAGGGATTTGCAATCATTTTTTAACCAAATCATAAGCATGCATCACATTCGATATAATATAGAAAAATGTACATGTTGGTATTGCTTACGAATTTTAATTTTAGTTTTTCATTTTTATTTCTAGACCCAGTGGAGCTGGCAAAATGATGAAGAAACTCGTATGAAAAGTCAGCAGTGCAAGGATTGATGGCTTCAGGAAGCGTACCAAACAATTTGTAAAACGCCTTCAATCTTTCTCTTTTCTGTCATCCTCATTGGTACCATTGCAATCACCACCGTTGCAGTCGGTAATTGCAACCTCCTCTGATGTCGCCATTTCCTATGACTGAGAAACGACTGAGTGGGCTTTTCCTATTCCCACAAGCCCAATCCACAGTCCTCCCTGAACCTTCCAATTTCTTCTCTCCTAACCTCCTCTCAACCCCACTTCCCACAAACTCCTTCTTCCAGAACTTTGTCCTCAAAAATGGAGACCAAGCCGAGTATATTCATCCTTACTTAATCAAATCTTCGAATTCCTCGCTTTCTCTCTCTTACCCTACTCGCTTCTTCACCTCTGCTTTCATCTACCAAACCTTCGTCGCTGATCTAACCATCGGGAAAATCAATCCTGATTCCAATGCCAAGCATGTAATCTCTTCCTATAATGATCTCAGCGTCACGTTGGACATACCATCTTCGAATTTGCGATTCTTCCTCGTCAGAGGAAGCCCCTATCTCACTGTGGCAGTGACTCAACGTACTGCACTTTCGATCAAAACAATCCATGCGATCCTTTCTCTCTCTTCCAATGATTCTCTCACCAAGTACACCATTCAGCTTAACAATGGCCAGACGTGGTTTATATATGTGTCTTCTCCTATCAATTTCAGTCACACCCTTTCTGAGATTACTTCAGATGGGTTTTCGGGTATCATTAGGATTGCTGTTTTACCCAATTCAGACTCGAATTATGAGGCGATTCTTGACAGGTTTAGCCCTTGTTATGCGGTTTCAGGGGAAGCTTCATTAACAAAACCATTCTGTGTCGAATATAAATGGGAGAAGAAAGGGTGGGGGGATTTGCTGTTATTGGCTCACCCTCTCCATCTTCAACTTCTGTCTAATGATAATGCGTGTGGTGTTAGTGTTCTTGATGATTTCAAGTACAGAAGCATCGATGGCGATCTTGTTGGTGTGGTTGGGGATTCGTGGTTGTTGAAGACCGATCCTATTTCTGTGACTTGGCATTCTACCAGGGGTGTGAAAGAAGAAACTTATGAAGAAATTGTTTCGGCACTTGCAAAAGATGTGGAGGGCTTGGATTTCACCTCAATAACAACTACGTCATCTTATTTTTATGGGAAATTGATTGCAAGAGCAGCTAGGTTGGCATTAATAGCTGAAGAAGTGTCATTTCTCGATGTGATTCCTGCGATCAGGAAGTTCCTGAAGGAAACCATTGAACCATGGTTGAAAGGAACCTTCAATGGTAATGGCTTTCTGTATGACCCCAAATGGGGAGGGATTGTGACAAAACAAGGGTCTAACGATTCAGGTGCTGATTTTGGCTTTGGGATTTATAATGATCACCATTACCATCTGGGATACTTCATTTATGGAATTGCAGTTCTTTCGAAGATTGACCTTGCCTGGGGAAGAAAATATAAACCTCAAGCTTACTCACTCATGGCTGACTTCATGAACTTGAGAAGAAGATTAAACTCAAACTACACACGCCTAAGATGTTTTGACCTTTACAAGTTACACTCGTGGGCTGGAGGTTTGACCGAATTTGCAGATGGAAGAAACCAAGAAAGCACAAGTGAAGCTGTAAATGCATACTACTCAGCAGCATTAATGGGTCTAGCTTATGGTGATACCCATCTTCTTGTCGCTGGATCAACACTCGCAGCACTGGAAATTCATGCAGCGCAAATGTGGTGGCATGTAAAAGAGGAAGATACTTTATATGAGCAAGATTTCACAAAGGACAACAGAGTAGTGGGTGTTCTTTGGGCTAATAAAAGGGACAGTGGGCTGTGGTTTGCTCCTCCTGAATGGAGAGAGTGTAGGCTTGGTATTCAGGTTCTGCCATTGTTGCCTTTAACTGAAGCTTTGTTCTCTAATGTGAAATACGTGAAGGAACTTGTGGGATGGACATTACCTGCATTGAATAGGGAAGGTGTTGGCGAAGGTTGGAAAGGGTTTGTTTACGCCTTGGAAGGAGTTTATGATAAAGAGGGAGCATTGGAGAAGATAAGAAGCTTGAAAGGATTTGATGATGGAAACACATACACCAATCTCTTATGGTGGGCTCACAGCAGAGGGGATGAAGTTGAAGATGAAGATGACTGTGGTCATGTGAAGAACTGTTGGTTTGGTCATTACTGTCACTGACAGTTGTCTGATTATTTCCTTGTTTTAGAAGTTTACATAAAGTCGAAATTTTTTGGGTTATACTTATAATATTGTATTATTCATATCTCATATATAGGTTTGTTGGTCATTGTAGCTGAGGAGTTGTGAATTCATGTCTGTAACGTCTGATTTCGAGCTGCTTGTGTATTTATGGCTTTTGTCTCTTTCCTTGAGTTAAATATAAATGGCGTGAGCTACCAGGATTAATTTTACTTTAAGCCATAAGTAACTACTATCTAAATGTAGAAATACCGTATGCAGCTCACAGGCACATGCAAGAAAGTTCCAAAACCTTTAAAAGGTGAGGCGAAAAAGACAACATAATTGAGCAAAAATATATGTACCAATATCAGGTGGGATAATTTATAATGTTGGGAAAATTTCATTTGAGGGTTACTGTAGCCAATTAATATTAGTCAACCTTCAAAACATTTGAAAATTTCAGTCAACCCCATTAAACCAAGATGAACTTAGAATTTAAGGGTAAAATTACAATACTACCCCTCTTTTTTATTTTTTTTAAATATAAATATTAATTGTTACTGGAGTTTTGGCCACCGGTGTTCAGGTAACCGGTGTCAGAGATCAAAGCTCTGGTGGCAACTGCAGGACTCAAGTGGTAGGAGGATTTTTTAAAAAAATAATGTGGTCAAGGGGGTTTGAACCCATGACCTCTTGGCACACTAAAAATAATATAACTGTCAAGCCAACCAAACCATTTAATTATATAGTGCAAAGAAAAACATATATAATAAAACAAATACAAACATCTAAGTGTAAATGGATAAATAAAATTCGACAATTTATAAGTAAAATTCATTCATTTACAACAAAAATTTGACAATTTACAAATAACAAAATAAAATTTACAACACCAAATGCAAGTATCTAGATGCGAATAAATAAGTGAGATTTGGAAATTTACAACAAAAATCCATGCATTTACAACCCAAATCTGGCGATTCATAAAAAACATAAGGGAATTCACAACCTCAAATACAAGTGTCTATGTGTAAACGAATAAGTAAAATTCAATGATTTACAACTCAAATTCGGCAATTTACGAACCAAATTTGGTGATTCATAAGAAATATAAACATTGCAAAACTTATAAGAAAATTCACAACCTCAAATACTTATAATTTTGTTGTGAATCGCTGAATTTTTGTCGTGAATCACTGAATTTTACTTATTCATTCACACTTAAACACTTGCATTTGGGTTGTGAATTCTATTATATTATTTGTAAATTACTGAAGTTTTGTTTAAATTGTTGAATTTCACTTGTTCATTTACACTTGGACATTTGCATTTGTTTTGTTACCTATATTTTTCTTTGCATTATATGATCAAGGGCTTATTTGGATTGACTTATAATTAGCTTTTCAAACATGATTTACAGAATACAAAGTAAGTATGTGATGAGAGTTTTGTCTCGACTTACATGAACTTGTTTAAAAATCCATTTTAGACGGAGCTCCAAACAAACTCCAAATAGTTTGGTTAACTTAATGATTATATTACTTTTGGTGTGCCAAGGGGTCATGGATTCAAACCCCCTTGGCTACCTTATTTTTAAAAAAAAAAAAACTTCTGACAATTAATATTTATTTTTAAAAAAATAAAAAGGAGGGATAATATTGTAATTTACCCTTAAATTTTAATTTTATTTTGGTCTAGGAGGGTTGACTGATTTTAATTAGCTACAGTGATACTTAAATAAAATTTTCCTTATAATGTTTCTGAATAGCTCTTCTCAATATGCTTGTTTTCATTAATAATGATTGAACTCAAGAGCTCATTTAAGGGAAATCAATTCCGTTCCCTCCGAAGGCTTATAGCTATGAGGACAAGAAGTTATATGGTTCATTAATTTTGAACTTTCGTTTTTCAACTTGCAACTTGTTTTGATCAAAGATGTTTGGTTGATGCTAGCAAATTAAATTATAATGGTTGCTGTAGTTGAGCTAGAAATTCAAAACACACACACACGCACACGCACACATATAGGGAAACAGATTAAGGAACAAAGTTGTGGCCTTAAGTTGAAGTTGGGATGGTTAATAAGTGGTGTATACTAATTTCGAGTTTCATCGGATGTAATACAAGAGGACATCTTATAGAATACACACACGTGAAACTTCCTCGAGCTATCAAAGGAAAACCTTAATCTAGCTTGTTTATTTAGTGTTGCTTTTGGTTAATTCTTGTTTAGATTTTTCTTGACAAAAACTTCATAATTAAGTCCTGCCTATATGTATAAATACTTTAATCTATACTCTTCTGATCCTGTTTATAACATAAAGAGAGAAGAATTTTTTTATCTTATTTATAGGTAGAGAGAATTTTTCATATGAATGTATATCACAATTTTTTACACCAAATTTGTGCATATTCATATTGATAAAGCCCAATTTTTATAAATTTTATCCCACATTAATTTAGGATTTAAATGATAATTTTGAGCTTAAATGAACTTTTTATGCATTATTGGATTAATTAGTTGATTTTTGATTTTGCATAAAAATGGAGATTTTAGATACAAAATATAAATATTTTGTGATTTCCTATTTTTAACTTGGAATTAATTTTTTCTATTTCTTTGGAAACAAGTCTCATATTTTTAGAAATATTACTTTTAGAAAGTTTTGCAATCTTTTGTCTAATTTTTTTGCATACTTAATATTTAATTTTTTATTATATTTGGATATAATCTACATTAATGAATGCACTTAAATTCTTATATGTCAAAAAAAAGTACATAGAAAATCTAATGGTGCAAGATTGTTTCTTAGAATCTAAGCACAATCCAATAACTGATATCAAGTGAGTCAATTAAGTACTAATAGGCTTGAGTTTTGTATCCAAAAAAATTTTCCTTTTCCCCCGCTAAAATAATCCTCTAACCAACGACATATCTTCCCTCGTCCATATTTACGGATCGCACCATATTTCATTCGTCCCATATTCGGAAAAAAAAAACACCATCCCCTCTCACCATCATCAATTCACATCCTTTTCTTTCTTACTCCACGTACAATCCACATAATCATCCTCTTCTCTTCTTTACTCCTCATGGCTGCAGCATCTAATGATTTTAGAGGGAAGATAATTTTTATGGAGGCTTAAACTTGTTAGGGAGGCAACTTGGAAGGAGCATGGAAAAAACTTGAGTCTTGAGCTAGCACTTGAAGACCACAAGGGAGTGATATTCTATTTATCTTTTTAATTCAAGAACTTGAGATTATTTAGTTTTAAATAATTTTAAGTTGTAATTTTGTGAGACAATTTAATTCTAGATTGTCATCTTTATGCTTGGATTGGATTGATATTTGGATTTCATTTGTGTTGAGATACTTGTTGGAATTTATGTTTATGAACCTTTGCATTGTTAATTGAATTTGTAATTGAGTTTTCATTATGAGTTTAATTATCAATGTGGTTTGAATTGCAAAATTTGGGTTCTTTTGCCTCTTAATTGTTTAATTAAGTTGGTTAATTGTCTAATTGTTTAATTGGATAATTTCAACATAATTTTCAGAATTAATTTGAATTATTCTCATTGGTTTTAATAAGCTTAATTAGTCATCCTTATACTATTATGAGTTCTCTAATAGTTTAAGGGTTTTTTAGATTGAGATTCCCTTTGTTTCAAGTAGGTAATTAAATTTATTAATTCCACTCTCTTATCACTTCCATTTGGTCTAATTAACTGATTAAGGTTATGAAAGTTAAATCCATAGAAATCCTAAGTTGTCCCATCTACCTTACTGAAGAGAAACTTCTCAATGTTCACTTGTAAATTTTCTTTGCTTTCTAATTAATTTTCTTTATTCATCATTTTTTTATTTTCCTTCTAAAAAAAATCCCCTCAAAAATTGCATTGCATTCATTTAGTTTAATTTAATTTTCATATAAATTTTAGGACATTTACATTTTGCATTTAGAATTAGAATTTTGCATTTTAGTTTATGTTCAATTTATTGTATTTTTTTTATCACCTAAATTTTTACCTAAAGAAACCCATGACTTGCTCCTTGGAAGTAATGACCTAGGTCGATCCTAAACTATAAATTAATTAGGACCTAGTTTAATTGAGTGCTTTAACGACAAAGGCATCATCACATATTAAAAAATTTAAATTTTAAAATTAAAATAAACCTGCTAATCAACATTTAAAATAATTAAAATTATAAATTTATTTTTAATTTTAAAATTTACATTTTTTAAAATTATATAATTAAAATTATAATTCTGATATTTATATATATTTATAATTATAATTTTTTAAAATTAAATGTACAGGAAAATAAAATTTATAGAAATGAAAAAGAAATCATCCTGAAATTTTCGCAGCGGAATGGTGAAAGAAGGGGAGAAGCATGAGAGAAGGGGGGTGGGACTGCGACAGCGGCATGGGTACCAATTGAGGTTGAGACCCGTTTAAAACAGTTTATAAGTAGTTTATAAGTTACTTTTTAATAGTGATTTATGGAATACGAAATAAGTATATAAAAGAAGTTTTATCTCGACTTATATAAAACGTGCTTATAGAAAATTTTTACCCTTCTACCAAACAGGGCCTGGGAGAGGGGGGATAGCTGTTAAAAAAAGGAGAGAGAACAAGAGAGATGCGTATAAATAAGTATGAGAAATAATATAAGAGATTAGAAAAAAGGACGTGGATTTGTATACAAATTATTACTCCTCCGGTCCTAATTATAAGACCCAATTGATTTATTTGAGGAGATTAAGGAAGTAAGTTAAGTTAGTTATTTATAATAAATAAGTGTTGTTATTCCTAAAATATCCTTGCTAATTAACTATATTGGCTAAAACTATCATTATTAGAAGGATTATCTTGGAAAAAAATGCATAAATATAAGAGAGAAAATGGATTGGGTCTTCTAATTAGGACCAAATAAAAAGTCAAATTGGGTCTTATAATAAGGACCGGAGGAGTAACATATTACAGAGGGAGGTGGGGCATGTCAGCTGACAGATGGGATGAAATTGTTTGACATGTAATGATTTTATTGGTCAGCGTACAGATTAACTGGCAGTACCCCCAGGAGAGCCGATTGGTGATAGCTGGGGGATCAAGTTTCAGATTTTCTAACCCGTTTTTTTGGAGTCATATTGGGCCTTTGCTAATTCAGATTGGGCCACTGAGAGGTCTACTTGGGCTAGACTAAAGAAATTATACGTAAAC